ACGACAGAAAAGACCCGCGTTCGACAAAAGCATCAATCCTACAACTGACAGCTCTTGAGCAACCAAATTCCAAGCAGCAACTTGTACATGACAGTAAAATTGTCAGTGAGACATCGGTTGCTAATACGTTTCATTATGTAAAGTACATTAATGTATTTGGCACCACTGTTTCATTTTGTTTATTCTTGCAAACGGAAAGGAAACGGTTATTAAATTGGGTACTGCCTTCATAAAGCGATAGTGACATGTATGACGGTCAACTGAACTATCTAATTCAACGCATATTAATACGTTAGGGTGTTTCCATTCTTTTATGCCCGTTTTGGATCCATACTAGTTCTAGGCTTAACTGAGCTCCCGTTTTAAATTCGCGGCATTAGCGCCTTATAGAGCTGAGCACATATTTCTCGAAGAGGGTTACCGCAAACAGCGCATAGGTGTAGGGTTCCAGTAAGTCGGAATCAAATTCCACCCTGTCAGTATACAAGATTCCCGAAGAACAGTCATGCTGTTCACAGCCTACAGATTCGTCGATCATGAACTATTGAGGGAATGCAGGAGCAAGAAGCTAGGTCATGCTACACTCTGGGGTTTCATGTCGCTTATAACGGATTCGTTTAATCGATTTTAAGACGCATATTTGAATATTTTTCTTTCTGTAACTTGAAAACAGTCACTGTCACATCCGCAAAAAATTTTTATCGAATAGGAGCGAACTTGATTAAGACAAACGCCACAAAGTTTTTTTCCAAATGGCTATGCGTGTGAGCATGTCTAAAACGAAAAACGTAGTGCTTTGTAATTTTTCTGCTCGTTACGCTCTGCAGATAAAAAGAGAAGCAGTGGAACAGGTGGAGAAGCTGACGTACCTCGGGGTCGTGTTTATTGGTGATGGAAAATTGGAGGAAGAGATCGACCGACGAATTTGAATGGCCAGCGGTGTTCCGCATCAACTAGTCTGAACCGCTTTGACTAAAGCGGAGATTAGTTTTAGACTGAGATCTCTGTCTAAGATGATCATCACCCCCGCATTCGCCCGTTGTCATAAGTCATGGGCCATGCCTGAAAATCTTTGATCGATGATACACGTTGCTGCAGTAGGTATTCTGAGAAGAATCACTATGCTCAGGTGCATCGACTTGATCCGGATTTCAGATATCTGAGGGTGTTTTTGTGTACCACCGCTGTTTCTTCAGAATGCGAAGTCACTGTTGCGATGATTTGGGCACTTCTTAAGAAAGAAAGGCGAAACATCTACTACCTGCAAAACCGACCAACCGAAGACAGCGGCGACGACCAAAGAGATCCTAAGGCAAGTGTGTGGAAGGAATCTTCTCAAGATTCAAGTTTTCTTCAGCCGAGGCTGAAACGCTGGCACAGGGCCGGGAACGCTAGAGACACTGTGTAAAGCGTTCGCCTGCAGGACCCGAAAGGATAAATGATAATCGAAATTGACTGACAGATTTAACTGCCACTAAATTGTTCCTAATAAATCAGTTGTTGAATAACGGTCAAGACATTTTGATTATTACTTTTTAAGAAATGGTTAGTTATTTATATAAGGAATATTCGTA